GGCGGTGCAGCCGATCATTTTCAATCCGGGTCATCGACAAAAACGAAATACGACGGCCGTTTGAGATTCGTGCGCATCGACCAAGGCATACGTCATGCAGAATGCATGTACGTTCCTCCGCTGATTTGTGTTTTGAGGTAGTTGTTCTGGACCGAGTGAAGCAGCAGCAGCTGTAAAGCTATTGCCCGCGACCTGTGCGTGTGCAACATCTTGTGTGGCGCCTGATAGAGACCGCGAGGCCATAGAATCCACCACAACACACGTAGCCTCGCGGCCTGCTAAGGGCCAGGTCATGGGTTCGAGTCCCGGCAGAGAGAGTTTTTTCTGTTTTTTTCTCACTAAATAAATCCTGGTCTAGGATGAAGCGACGCGCTGCAAAGCTCGTTTGTTAGTAAACCATAATCGACTTCGTAAGTCGCGAGGCAAGGGATTGCTGTACCCTTCTCGCGATACAAATACCTCAGGCATGAACCGCAGGAGGGGGTCCAACCCCCCCCTCCTATGTGACCCCGGTTGGGTCGTCTAGCTTGTAGAAGTGGAGGATAGGGGCCAGAGGGGCAGATGACAGAGTCCAATTATGGGAAAAAAACAAACAAACAAACAAACGTATGCATGCGAGCAAAACAGAAAAAGAAAAACGTCGAAACAAAAAAACACTATGCATTTTGCCATGGCACAGGTTTGTTTCCAGGTGATGCCTCCCCTCCCACCGAAGCAACAACAAAAAAAGGTATTCGCCACGACCTGTGTTCATGCTCCGGCTCGTGTGGTGATTGATAAATACCGGGAGGCTGAAGGGCGCTCAGAATATGTGGCGCGAGAGTCTGGCAGAGTCTGAAACAAAGACACCGCGTCTCCTGGAACTGGCTTGTCTTTCTCATGCCCCTGACACCGGTTTGGTTTACCCATGATCCCTTCCCACCCACTGAAGTAACAACAATGACGGAGGCATCCGCCACGAGCTGCGTGTATGATTCCCTTCCCCCGCCAGTGCTGCCCTGCTCCTCCCAGCGGCGTTGCGTGTGTAGCCGAGGGCTTCCTTTGTTTCTCCTTGTTTGAATCAGAACCGCGCGTGTGTCTGTGCGGGAGATCCCCGCTCTTCTGTCTCCCCTTGCCCTCCCGAACACTCTGGGTTGAGGTGAGATATATCCAATACATTTTGGGCACAAGTGCCTGTGTAGCACGAGCATCTACTGTGGCGGCACGACCAAACCGGTGTGAAGAATAGTGCCCTATTTGCCTTGGAAGCCAACAGATAAAATTAAAAAATACAAATGAAAATGCATGTCGATCGGTGCACCATAGGTTTCGGTTGGGTCGAAAGTAGGGGATATATTTTTAGGCTTCCCGGTAATCGAACTTGAGGCCCGTGCATCGCGTTCGAACAGGACAATATATAGAGTATTTCTTCCTCCTGCTGGGAAGAAGGTCGCGCGCCGCGAGGCGCGGCTCATAAAAAAACTCAGGAAAACTATCGTCGCAGTAGATACCTGATCTACCATTTCTCCTGCCGTCGAAACCGCCGCCGCCGCTGCCTGTTCATCGGAGATGTCCTCAGCAGAGCCGAGCTTTTCCTCATGCTCCTTCTGAACCTGCTCGCGTATCCGCTCCTGCTTCTTCGCCTCTTGCTTCTCCAGCTATATCATAGCGTCATTTGTTGGGGTGGAGGCAGCAGTCAAGAGATATACGCAGAGGTATTAGTACTGCTATGACACTGCTGTTTTTCAGGGTGACTGTTGAGTACGCTGCATGAAGCGTTAAGCCGCTCACCCTGGAAGAGCCGTCGTCTCAAGCGCGTGTGAGGCCGACCGAGGATTAATGACTAAAAGGGCACACTGGGTCGCCCCGGTGGTCTAGTGGATAGCCTCGCAGCCTGCTAAGGGCCAGGTCATAGGTTCGAGTCCTGGCAGAGAGAGTATTTTGCTCACTAAATCAATCTTGGTCTAGGATGAAAGCGACGCGCTGCAAAGCTCGTTTGTTATAAACCATAATCGACTTCGAAAGTCGCGAGGGAAGGGACTGCTGTACCCTTCTTGCGATAAAAATACCTCAGGCATGAACCGCAGGAGGGGGTCCTACCCCCCCCTCCTATGTGACCCCGGTTGGGTCGTCTAGCTAGTAGAAGTGGAGGATAGGGGCCAGAGGGGCAGACGACAGAGTCCAATGATGGTAGAAAAACAAACAAAAAAAAACTGCTCTGTATGTGGTTGTGCTTGGGGGGCCGCACCTAGAAGACAGTCCAATTGCGTGGTGTTGTACGTTGCTAGAGCAGACATCTGCCCCCCACACGGTAAGCACAGACCGACAATGTTGTGGAGAACCGCGATATGATTGTCGGCGCCGTTGTGAACTAAGGGCAGGGCACCATGCCCCTTCATCTAGGAAACCTTAAAGTTGGCGCATCAGCCAGTCAACACCGCTATCATCTCGTTTGGTCTCCGCTCCTCTGACAGATAGTCGACAGTAGACAGACAGATACAGCAGTACCAGGTGCAGCGCCCATTGTGAACAAGCGGGATGCCTCACCGGTACTTCACCACTACTTGATATCAACTGTTGTTGTTCGTTCAGTGCACGATATGAATCCTTCGAACGCAGCCATCCTTCAGGGCGGGTACCAGGACAACCCTTACCCTGCCACGGTCAACCCCGCTAAAAAACAAACAAACGCCCCAGCCGACGAACATGCAGGGCAAATAGATATGTTTCCCCCCATTGATGTACTAGCTGGGTGTGGAAAGTTTGGGGCAGCCGGGATGCCCATGCAATGTCCGGTTTGGCACAGCAAGCATAAGGATGACGACCAGCTAGCTCCTGGTCCATCCTTGTGGAGTAGCCTGGGCCGGCTAAAACCCCGCACATCGATCCTTCCGGGCATTGCAGGGATGCGAGGTCTATGGTCTACCCAACCACGGCATGTGTGCACATGAGTGCCCCCCCATCCATTAACAGAAATTGTACAGCAGTTGCATGCATACCACATGACAAGAGACACGTGTATCCCCCAAGGATGTAGACTACCACGTACAGTTGAGGTCCCTGTTTAGTGCCGGTTGAACAGTGCCAGTACCTGGTGTACAGTAGCGCCGGTGTTTTCGGCGGGCACACAATGAATTTCCATGTTACCTTCGCCATGCTGTGAATAGTGCCGGTCCGTATTTGTGGTTAGCACCTGCTGGCATCACTGATTTAACAGTTTTCAGTGTATAGGCTTAAATAGACTCGAAATAAGCCCAGTACCCAGCCGGTCTCCCTCCATTCACTGCAACGACTCCCACAAATCCCGTTCGACTGTGGTTGTGTCTCGAATGAGTAGTCTTTCTGTGTTTGTGTTTTGTTTTTCCTAGTATCAATAGTGCCGTAGGATTTATTGGGCACACAGTACCGCCACTAAACAGGGACCTCTCCTGTGGTAAGACATGTGGTATGAAAAGAGGCGCGTGTGTCCACGTTCTGGGCGACACTGATCAAGCGAGCTGGTACAAAGGGGGGGGGTAGCCGAAGAGCTGCGACCTGCGACCTGTGGAACGTGAATCGCCCCAGTTCCAAAAGTGGTTGCACGGGTTTGTCGGTCTCTTGTTTGTCAACACGCCAGCCAAGTGAGACAGCGATTGTACTCTGTATTTGTATCACGCACCGACCCCAACCGATATGTGTTGTATTGTAACACAGGAGGAATCGCCGCCTTTGCCCTTGCGGCGCTTGCGCTCAGTTTTCAAGAACACGGACGAGCGCACAAAACGCTTGAAAGAGATGTAGGCAAAGACGACCTGAAAATACACCGCTGTATTGTTGTAAGATGTTGTGTGGTGTGTGGGCAAGAAAGCACAACGGGAGGGGGGTACGGAAGCACCGACGGCGGCTCTGCGGAACAGCAGTAAAAAACTTGTTGCGATCAGCGGTCTCGATGCAAGCACCAACACCCCGATAGCTGTTGTACGCAACTGCTGCGGTCTGTGCAGTACAACCCCACGCGGCATGGGGCGAACGTTGCTTTAGCTTCGCGTTGTGCACCACAGACGATAGTCCGACCAACACAAGGACGGCTTGTATGATGACAGACTATCGCATCATGTCAAGGACGCATGTAACATTGGGCGTTGCTGCATACGGCATGTATTCTACAATCCAATTGCTCTACACCTCCGTGCTCGACAGCGCGCTTGACCAGTTACCTGGCGGCTCGTTGCCGTTCCCCTACCCAGCCTGGGCCTGTACAGCCCTACCGCCGAAGCGGACTGCGGGTTGAAGGAGGCTCGGATGATCACAGCCGTAGCTAACCCCACGAAGCTCCTGCGCATCACGCCCCGCACCCGCCGCCTCATCGACACCTCGCCATCTGCACCGGCCGCATCGTCTTCTCGCCCACCCAGCTCGTCCCCGCCCCTAGACAGAAGCCTATTGCGCAACGCGCTACTTAGCGTTGACCTGCGGCGGCCGTTGCTGCCGGCGGGGTCGTCCCCCGCCATGGTAGCTGACACCCTGCCGCTTGGAGAGGGGCGCACCGGGCTAGTGTTGCACCGCGCACAGGATACCCCATGCTGGTGCCCCCTGGCTGCTGCTGCTGCCGCCGCCGAGCCCTTCAGGGATGCCGAGGGAACGACGAAAGCTTCGGTTGTCGTGGTCGTTGAGGTAGCAGCGAGGCACAGAGAAGCCACGCATACCTGAGCTGCTTTGGACAACATGTTGTTGGATCCGGACGAGCAACGAACACCCGATTTAGCGATCTCTCTGTCTTGCTCCGCAGCTCCAAAAACTAGACTAGCAGCACCTCAAACCTCAGACCCTGGATGGCAGAGTCCACCGTGTCGACAGGGTGTTAAATAGTCTGCCAACGCCCAGCTGCTAGTGGGACTTGAGACTGGAGTCCTTTGCATGATGAGCACAACACAGCCAAGCTGCAAGGAGAGAGACACGTGTACCTTGCCCCCCCCTACTCTCAACGTACAATTCACGGAGCCCCAGAGCAGATCCTTGCCGCTCCACAGCAGTTCATTGGAGTGTTGGTCTGTGTCTGCCACACAACTGCTGTAGCAGCCATGCCCGTAGTGGAGAGCGATGCCGTGTCGGAAGAGGTGCTGGGCTTGATTCGGCCCCACTTCAGCAAGGTCAAGGCCCCCAGCACGTACGACAAGGTCTACAAGGATGAGTGCATGTTCTCGTTCGACACGTGAGTAACACGGACAGCACCAGACGGCAATAGTAGACTAGAGCAGAGAGGACAGGCAGGGCGTCTGCAAAGCAGCTAACGGCCGTCGTTGCCGCCACAACGCACTCCACGGGCTGCTCCAGATAACGCTTTGCTTAGAGCAATTCACGGCGGTTGTTTAACACGCCTAGACTACTACGATTCCCTTTTTGGGTCCACCCTTTGGCCCTGGTTGCCGTTGTGCAAGTATCACCGATCGCAGACACCAGCCCTTTGATGTACCCTAGGTCTTGGACAGACGGGTACACCAATAACCTCCTGCTGCGGGGATGCCATGGGCGAGTTCCTACTATTGACACCGGTCTTGGCTTTTGCGAATGCATTTTCTCGAGCTGCAAGCATGCTGCTGTTTTATTTCTGCGCACAACTGCAGTGCAGAAAAGACATCAGGCCCTCCTCGTATCCCTCCGCGTTTTTGCGTGGATAGGTTAGTCTGGTGTTTGATGTCTGATATCTATTTACCTCCACGGATGTAGACAACACTGATCACAGCTGAATAACCCCTCTCTGTGTTTCGCTCCGAGACCCGCCAGATATTGAAAACCAGTCTAGTGCACGAACAATTCTCTCACTGCTGCTCAATCAAAGTACCGCTGCACTTGTACCGCTGCTCTCGAACACAGCAATATGGCAACAGTAAAGAGCGTCGCCTCTTGCGAGTGTATGTTCAGTATGGGCAGACATAGCGCACCATAGGCGCAACAGGCGCGCAGCAGGACGCGATGCTCACGTCTAACAGGTACACTCGCCACCTATCTTGATGCGTCTTATTTATACCTTTTGCGCTACGGTATACTATATATAATAGCTCTACGGGAAGTGTCGATTCATTGTAGTATTACAGTCGACGGTCCTCTTCTATGCCGTAACGTCACCGAAACCGCTTGGCACAAAAGCATCTCTCGGTACGACCGCTATTGGGAATAGCGGCAATGCCCTGAACAACGGCACCAAAACCTATCGCTACCTACCGCTATTGAGGACCGCCGACTGTATATAACGTAGAAGAGGTGTCTTGCCGGGCCCGAATGTCTGGACAATGTGGCACGGCTGCTGTCGCTCTCAAGCCAGAAGCTTAGCACGAAGCGGCTGGGCCAGTTGGCAAGGCATCATCCACGAAACTTGGTCCCCGTAACGATTGCCTCGTCTTTGGTTCCCACAGAGAAGAGTGTGACCCAGCATCAGTTGTGCACAGCGAAGAACGCCATCGCTCGTGTTTCCTTTCTGGAAAGGCGTGTTTTCACTCTAGAGCGACTATGACAGCAGTGTAACGGGTTGGTTTCAGCTTAACAAGCTTAGTGGTGGGTGAAACCCAGGCTATTTCGGACCCCAAGACCACCTTTTATTAGAAGCCGAAATGAAATCGTTGGACTACTAACCGGCACTGAGTTGTCGAATTGTGTGATTTCTCGGCTTCTCACATTACCACTCTCGCCACCGCCTTGGAACTCTCTCTCTCTCCTTCGCCACAACGCCGCAGGCCTTTCTCGCGCGGAGGGCTATACGTGAGCCTTGCAAACTGGCAGGGCTTCGGCCAAGACTTCATCGGTCTTGCCGTGGAGCGGGGAGCGGGGTGCCTGTACGTACACCAGGTGTGGAAGCGCGTACCTAAGGCTGCGGCCGCCGCCGGCGAAGGTGCAAACGACGCCAGCATGGACACCACCGATGATACGGTGAGCGCGTTGGGAGTTTGTTTGGTCGACGCGCGGAGTTGCTTGACGGTTAGAGTACACCCCTCCCTTGTACAGCCAAATGGTGCGTGCGTTAGGAGCATAGTTCACGCGCGTAGAAGCCGGTTTCAGTACACACCAACATGTCGAGTGTATTGTTGGCGTCATGGAGTAGCATCATTTATTCTTGCGATGACAAGACAAATCGCCCGCATGCGACGTTGCCAACGATCCTCATACACTTACCGTGGAACGTAACATCTTGCCTGATTGATGCTGCTGCTGGTGTTGTCGTGCAAAGAGAATCGAGGGCATTATAAAACCTTCATCTGATTGCGGCGCTCGTCGTATCGACGTAACCGCCGTGCTGCTCAACAAGTGTTTGTGTTTGGGAAAAGTGACGGCAGTATGCTCAGAGCTCACGACGTGGAAAAGACCTCGATGGTGCATCCGTTTTCCCCGAAGTCCGAATCCGTTGTTGCGTCTACGTTGTTCTGTCGTTTGTTTGTTTTTTCATCGTGTTCTTGGTTGACTCCGTAGATCCGTTTTCTCCATATGTTTCAGAATGTCACGGGTAGTGTAGAGTACAAGCCATGGGTTGGGCCATGCCATTTATTCATGTGAACTGAGGATGACAGCCACAGCAACTACCATGCCTGACCTGTTGCCTGCCCCAGGGGGACTCGAAGGCCGAACCGACCGTGCTCGCGCTGGGAGTGGACGGCGGCTTCCGGACCGACGAGCAGAAGTACGACATTGTCAAGACGCACCGGCTGGTTGCCTTCAAGGCTGGCAGTGGCACTGACGGCGTGAGCGTCAGTTATCCCGACGAGGTCTGTATGTAGCCCCATGTATGTTTTGTGTGTGTGTTTGTTTGTTTTTTACGTACCAAAATAAATTCGTCTCTATCCACATCTCCATCCACAGGTGATCTCTATCCACAGATAGGAGTCCAGCATTATTAGCCATGATTTTTTTTTTTTTTCGAGCCAGTTGGTACCGGTCAAATACCAATGACGGACCCCCCCCCAACCAATCATAGTCGTAACGTGCTCGTAGCGACGGTTGGTTGTACTTCTTGCTTGCAGTCTTGAGAACCGTCGTGTTGGTCTTGTTACGCCCTCGGCTACATACAGTGTGGATTTTTTAGGGTGATTGCGATCGGCGTGAAAGTGGTTGACGCCGGCATTCTTGACGATGCACGAAATACCGACGGTGTCTCCAGGTTTTCATGGTTGTTTCGAGTAGCAGACTAGATCGGCCCTGGTCATGAGTGGTGTCAAGAACGCCCTCAGTCACAGCACCCCAAGTCTGTAGCAACGAGGGTGTTTCTGCGATGATTGGTTGGCCAAGGATTGCGTGATAATCTTTTCTCGGGTGCATCGGCCTCCCTGTCTCGTGTGTTTCTTGTATTCAAGTTGACAACTGTTTTTTGGCCAAAGACACTTCCGTACGAATCAAACGTAGGTTGTTGACGTTATTGTTGTTGACGATGAAATTGTTAATGTTTCGTCGTCGTTGTTGTTATTTTGGGGTGGCAGGCACTGCCTACGATCGTTAGCCAGGCGGTCGACGCCATCATCGAGCACCAAGGCGCGGCAGAACAGACTGAGGTATGGCAGTGGTATGCATTAGTCGATTGATTGTTATCCTGTCGTCTCTGTGTTTGATTTTTGCGAGCAGGATGGTCGTTGGAGGCCTTCGGCTGTGCGCAGGCGCGCTTAGAAGAGCAGACATACGGAGGGATGGCTAGGACACTTGCTTCAATCCATGTTTGGGATGAGCTGAACAGAGGTGTAGGTTACGTACGCCACGAACAGATTGAACCGGTTGCAGCAGTGCTGTTGTAGGGTGTGGCTCTTGGCGTCTTCACCTTGAACCAAGGCCGACGACCAAGCTTGTCCTTAGGCACGTTTCGAGAGAAGGAGGCGGGCGCTGGTGGATCAACGGAGTCGCACTGTTGTACTGGGGCGTGCGTGCGTGCGTGCCTTGGATATGATGTGAACTCTCGACGAAGGTGGCCTAATGGGCTTCTCGCTGTGAGAGTTCTCGCCAACTGGCACAGAGCTAGGCCCCCTCGAGAATGGGGGGTAGGTTGATCTAGAATCCTCTCGAAAAAGGGGGGGCAGGCGTTGAGAATCTGAGCGCTTACTCGGGCTGCTGCGCCCTCGTGTTTGCGATAGCCCTAGCGGTTCGGTTGCCTGAGCGAAGGCGCCCGCCTACAGCGACGGCAGTGCACAAGCCAGAGGTTGCTGGGCTGGTCAGACGACTACGGAGGCGAGGCGGTCTACAGCACTAATTGCGATGAAGGTCCCAATTTGTTGCGCCTTAGTCACGAAAAAGATTAGCTAGAGGCACCAGTTGTGCTGCTACCGCTCCTCCTGTGTACATAAGTCCGCGGTCGGGCGGTTTCTTCTCAATGAAATTCTATATAAGGTGTCTATTTATTCGGCGTTGCCCCCTTCGGTAGGCGCATATCGATTCGGCATTGCCCCCTCAGGTAGGTGCGTAATGATTCGGCGTTGCCTCCTTTGGTAGGTGCCTAATGATATGGCGTTGTCCCCTTGGTAGTCGCCTATTGATTCGGCGTTGCCCCCCTGGGTAGGTGCCTATTAATTCGGCGTTGCCCCCCCTTTCATTCCAGGTGAGACAGTGGGTGGCCGACAACGAGCTTATCGTGAGCAAGTACGCCGACACATTGGAGCACGTCGACAGCGGCCGCAGGATCTCTTCCGACCCCAAGACGTGGGTGTGCGAAGATAGCGGAAAGACGGAGAACCTCTGGCTCAACCTGTCCACCGGTAAGCGTAGAATAGAGCCAGCTTGCTTTGAACGTTAACGTTACGCTAAGCCTTGATCGCTACAGCAGTACTCTAGCTCGCCCAAGGTTCGGTCACGAGAGCTAACTACTTTCAGGTTCAACTCTGGGCCCCCGTACAGATCATGGAGCATGTGTATTCCACGGGCGTGTTTAGTACAGTATAGTACTGGCGGTACTGCACAGTATTCAGTACCTGCGAGGCATACTGGAATATGCTGGCTGTTTTAGTACAGCTCTCGTTACTGGAATAAAAGTTTCAGTACCTTTAGTACAGCTTTCGATACTGTACTGTACTGGCTGCTTTAGTACGGACTCCAATACTGGAATAAACGTACTGCACGCTTTAGTACGGGTGTCGATACTGGACGGTAGGGGTCGTACGACTGCCCGTATCTACCCGGTATCTACCCGAAATCCACCGAAGGGCGTGTTGGTGACGTCATCTTCTGGCACAAATGCGGCACAGCCTCGTCCAATTGGTCTAGTCCTACAGTCCCACTCCTGCTGCAAGTACACGACTACGTCGTACTGCCGTGTCCAGTGTACTGCGGAACTTGACTACTGGTACTCGAGCAGTGGCCCGCAGCCAGCACAAGGCAGCGATGGGTGACGCCGCAGGTAGTTCGGCCGCAGAATCGACGAGTGATGCCGCCGCGGGTGCATCAACACTAGAAGACCTAACCCAAGAGGAGAAGCAAGGAGACGTGGAGGAGGGTTCTGTGGGTTGAGGAGGTTCGCCGTCGGTGCGGCAAAAGAAGCCCGCTCCGATATGCGACAAACACGGAAGGAAGGTCGAGGCGCCGGCGGCTACGATCGCTGCCGTCGAGGCGTCCGTACCCCCGCCCGGTCACAAGCGGGAAGGAGCCCGTGAGGACAGCTACTTGTTCAGCTGTGGAAATTACTACACGCCAGCTGGTGTTCCGAGGACATCCTCGCAATTCAAGGGCTTCTTCATGCATATGCATCTGTGCATCTGTGCTATCCCTACTGACAAGGACAGCAGTCACTTAACCCTACTACTGTAGTATATATTGTCACTATTGTTATAGTACGGCTCTCGATACTCCGCTCAACCTATCAGTACGCTCAGTACGAGCACTGGTGGAGGTCTGCTCTCCATCCTGTACTGGTGTAATACTGCGCAACACTGCACGCTTCAGTACAGCGCTTGATACTGGCGGTACTGCACAGTATTCAGTACCTGCGAGACATACTGGAATGTACTGGCTGTTTTAGTACAGCTCTCGATACTGGAATAAAAGTTTCGGTACTTTTAGTACAGCTTTCGATACTGGAATAAAAGTTTCAGTACTTTTAGTACAGCTCGCGGTACTGGAAAAACTGCACCCCTAGTACGGCTCTTGATACTGGGATGTACTGGCTGTTTTATTTAGTACAGCTCCCGATACAGGAATGTACTGTACTGACTACACGGCCCTCAGTACTGTACTGTACTGGCTGCTTTAGTACGGACTTCAATACTGGAATTCGTCCTATTTGTTATGGCGACAGTCCCCCCATTTTTCGTGGTGAGACGTGTACTACACTTTTCAGTGTATTTTTTCGTACAACTACAACCATCCAGGGTCACACAGGGGGGGGTAAACACCAGGCTTGTTTCTTATTGTTTCGTTTCATGCCACACTTTCCTCCTGCGGTGCGTGCTGATATATTTTTTTTATCGCGAGAAGGGTCCAGCCGTCTCTTTCCCTCGTCAACGTTGTTATCGTCGAAGTTTGGTACTCACGAGAACTTTTTAGCTATCTTTCGCTTTCACCTGCAAATTTCGAAAAGTCTTCACCCCATGGGGATTCGAACTCACGACCTCTGCGACTAGCGGATTACGAGGATACCACTAGACCACCGGGGCGACCGGCTCGAGCATGCGTGACAAAGCTCTGTTGGCCTCTAGTTCACGTGATGCCCAAATGTTGGGGTGGCTTTAAGATGCCTCTCCCTTTGGGGCAGATGGCAGTTGTATGTCGAGGCCAATTCCCCAATCGCTAAGATCGTCGTCAATCACCAAGCTGTTGGCGCAACACCTGTAACACCCTGCAACTGCCTTTTAAGAAGAAGACTGCCTTCCACGCGAAAGCATATGCCCCCCACCGTCATCTTTTGATTTTCATTTAACAGAAGAGAATTATTTTGTCTCTGTGCATACGTTTTGATGAAGAGTCCAGGACAAGTGAGCTTACCGCCCTTCAGAAAAGCTGTGTCTCTCACCCGAGAGAATGACGTGTCCCACACCGTCATCTTTTGTTCTGTATTTTACAGAAAAAAAAAACTTGCACTTCTATTCCCATCGCTGTGCAGAGATAAGAGTACAGGGCACGTTTGCTTAGCGACCAGATCATGATGGTGTATGACGTACATCCCTTTGATTTTTTTTTTCAAGTTGAGGTGTAAGGACCAAACGCCGTGTTACCTGCATTGAACGCTACGTTGGGGCTGTCTGCGAAAGTCCAGCACCGTGCGGGATTTCTAGGCAGGATTACTGTCTCGAGGTCACCTAGCCCGTTCCGTATGTTTTTCGTTTTCCGTGGGTTTTCCAGGCTACATCGGGTCCGGACGTCAGAACTGGGACGGTTCTGGAGGAACTGGAGCCGCGCTCCGGCACTATGAGCAGACCGGGAGAAAGTGAGTGCTATTTGATTGATTATTGAAAATGTCGTACCACTACATTGTAGTCTAATGATTCATTCTTGAAAAAATGGTATACCATGGGTGGCAGCCTCTGCTGTTGGCACCATGTGTCGGGGTCCTTCTGCTTTTACATGACACTCGTTGAGTCAGTGAAGTCTAGCGAGAGGTGCGGCGGATTTCTTTTTTATAAAAGTATGCACAACCGAAGGAGTGGGAAGGTACCCGTTGGAGGTAGTGCGTCGTTAGAAGGGATGTATGTTTTTAGAGTAATTTTTTTTGATAATTACTATAACAACACCACAGGAAGACTACCCGTTAATGATCATACCCCGTCGAAGGGATGTGTGACAGCGGCTCTATCTGAGAAGAAGGTGTGACGCACAACACCAAAGGAAAGACTACCCGATCAAGACTAAGACTGTGCCCCGTTTGAAGGAGTTGTGTCGAGGCGGCTCTCGAGTTACGAGATTTACCCTACCCCCAAGCAAGCAAGAAAAGCCGTGTAGAGATACTACCCCATTCGAAGGGGTGGGATGGAGACGGACTTTTTTTTATTGTTGCCGGTCTCGTTGATTCGGGAGAAAGGCCGAATCGTCATGTGATTGCGGGTTGTGAAAGAGGGCGGACTGGCGTTCCACAACCGTGCCATGGAATGCGCATCGGCGACGGTCGTAGCAAACACGGTTATTCCACGGTTTGTTGGGCGTGTAAACCTGTTTTGCGGCATGCGCTTCTCTGGAGTAGATCCTGTGCACGGGGTGCCCCAAGCGTTTTTTTTGTCGCCGGCAGGACTGTTCTCGAAAACAAGCTTGTTGGCCGATCAGATAGATCCCGAGACTGGGCAGGCGGTCCCGCGGTCGGCCGTACTCGCGATGCGAAGCGGCACTACTGCTGTTATGTCTCTTTTGCGTACAAAGGTACATATCGAAAGTTTATTTTTTTCTACAACGCCACGTATACCGTTGTTTCTGTTGTTCGTATTTTGTTTTCTGTTGTTTGTTTTCTCGTCTATAGCGGCACTTGCAGCATATATGTGTTTGTTTCTGATGTTCGTGTTTTGTTTTTTGTTTTCGTTTGTTTTCTCTTCTATAGCGACACTTGTAGCATACCTTTGTTTCTGATGTTCATGTTTTTTATTTTGGATACTTGTGTTTTTTTCTGTTTTGGGCAGGTACCCCTTGGCCGTCAAGCTGGGCACCATCACCCCCAACGGGGCGGATGTCTACAGCTACGCTCCAGAGGAAGACTCTATGGTCAAGGTAAGGTATCGGTGCAACAACAAAGTAGCAAAAAGTCAGTAAATAGGCTAAGATTGACCCTTAATCCCAGTATGCACCCGGTTTCTTCCTACTCACTGGAAATACTTCTATACATCCCTTTCGACTGTGGTTACATCCCGAACGGCGGTCTTTCTGTGAGATTACGTACACTTTCTACACATAACGCCAAGATCTCTTCCGCTTTCAACCAAACTATGGTGAAGATATGGTGTGCATGCAACAAAAGAACACTACCAAGGAATTTCTTCTGCTTCCAACGAAAAACCTTATGTTGTTGCCAGGCAATGTCGACGTCACTGCTGTGTGCTTGTTCTCACTCTGGAATGAATCATGAGTCAGTCTATCTTGTGTCTGCCAATTGCTCACGTTTCGGGAGGCCCGTACATGAAGGTCGTGTTTCTTTTTTGGGAGGAGGGGGTGACGGGGAATCGATCCAGTCGATCGGGCGAAGCGTGTTTTGGTGGCCGGCCGCCAACCAAGCGCAGCGAAACGCCCCTGCCAGACGTTGGTGTCGTCAGGGTGGCAGCGTTTTTTTTTTTCACGCGGATGTACACACCATCGCCCTCCACGCAACAGATGGATGATGTCAGTCGCTCTTCTTTCGGTTCGGTTGATAGCGAAGCAGTTGGTCAAGCTTGTTGATCGCTTTTTTCTGTCCGAAACGTGGTGTTCCTGGCAGCATTTATCCTTCAATCCTTCAATCGCGAGCGTTACCGCCCGCACTTGAGAAGTTGGCAGCTAAGAACTTGGCATCTGAGAGCTTCATGCCCAAACCCCTCAAGAACCTGGGCACCATTACCGTTAACGAGCCCGGTTAAAACCGCCACTAAAAGCATGCAGCCGCCATTTCTCAGCCCAACCTACAATAGGAACGAAGGAGTCCAGCCTCGGCCCAAACCAGAGGTTCTGATGTAGGACGGTGGACGTGTTGTCGCGTCTTATGCCGTGCACCGCTCCATTGGTATGACGTGCATACGCAGTACAGCACTTCGCGCCCGCATTTTGTGTACGCCGTTTTGAGATTTAGGCTCAATTTATCATTTCGTCAACACCGTCGAGCCTAGGTCTTCATATATGGTGTTTAAGTGTAGAATTATCGGCTATCGTATGTTTCTTAATCGCTTTTTCTTCCCTCATGGCCGATTTTTAGCCTTGTTTCTTCAACAGTTGTTTTTCAATCTCATTCGCTACTTGTATGGTATATAATAGTATCATGCGATGATAGCGTCGCGTGCCCGACCACAGCGCTAATCGCTGTGCAATGAAATGAAATGGTGCCATTAAATGGCGCGATGCAATGGTGTTCATGTGGCATTGTTCAGGACCCCAAACTGGCGGAGCACTTGGCTTGGTGGGGCATCGATGTGCTCAAGGTGGAAAAGACGGACAAGACCATGGCGGAGCTGGAGGTATGCTATGTACTGCAGTATGTTTCTAGTGTTGTAGCTCAAGGAGGAGAGATAAACGTAGACGGATCATGAGAACATCCAAGTGCACTCAGGTGTTTTTTTTCGTTTGGGGAGTGTCTTCAGAGTCTCTCAAGAACCGCCAACGACGCGAAAGAGAAGGAGTGATGGACGAGGAGGGGGAAAAGGAGAGAGAGAATTATTGTAGACGAATCGTGATAACACCCAGGGCCATGTAAGTATGCTTTCTCGAAGGATGTTCTCTAGGAACCCTCCCGCGGAAGACCTTTCCAATACCACGGCCATTCGGTCGTGTTACACCCGTCGAGTGTCATACACTGCTGTGCCGATGGGTTGCAACGATACTGCTGTTGCTAGAGCATAATTATTTCCCATATCTACCAGTGACGAATGTATCCAAGACGATACTCGAGTTCGAGTGTCGCAATCCGAAGGGCATCGATTCAGCGTCTTGTGATGTTCATGTTTGCCACCAACTTTATCACCTTTTTGGAGCTGGGTGAATCGTTTTTTCGGCAACATTGTACCTCTTTGATTGCTGCTGTTGGCGTGTACTTTGATATTTTTTTGCGGCCGGGGCTACATGGTATTTACTGGGAATTCTTGTCAGGTGGAGCTGAACAAGTCGTACGACTTCAACAAGATCACGGAGGCTGGCGCCAAGCTCAGGCCGCTGTCCGGGCCTGGCTTCACGGGCATCAAGAACCTCGGGAACTCGTGCTACATGAACAGCTGCCTGCAGGTGCTGACTGCTGTTGTAGACCGTCAACAGCTGTTGACTGTTGTTGCAGAGCTACGCGGAACGTTCCTCCGAATGTTGCGCGAAGTTTTTCTCGACACCAACGCTAGTTGCATGAACCTCGTGAAACCTGGCTACAACATGGACAGCTTGCTTGCAGGTGCTGCTGCTGGTTGTTGTTGTTGTAGAGCTCTCGTGTGGCACGGAACGTTCCTCAGAATGTTCCACGTGGAGTGCTCCACGAGACAAACGCGAATTATAAGAACCTCGGGAACTCGTGCGACGTGAACAGCTGCTTGCAGGTGTTTCTGCATGTTATTAGAGCCCTCGTGTGGCACCACGAAACGGTCCTCAGAATCTTCCACGAGGAGTGTTCCACGGGACAAACACGGGTTGCGCCGCACATGTCGCGCGACTCGCACGTGGCAATAGCATCGAGGCCGGAGCTATGTAGCCGACGTGGAGCTTTCGCCTCGATTTTAGCATCGGACGGATTTCTTGTGTTTAGTTCTTTCTGCTCGTGAGTTCAGTCCAGCGCATGCGTGCACGATAGTGTTGTTTTCGTGGCAACATGCCCTCATGTTTCACCCCCCGTATGAAACACAGCTCCATCCCTCGTGCGGCTGGCTGTTGGCATTGGCATCAGGTTTCGAGACCTGTCGTTCCTCCTCCGCCTGCGGGGCTACCCAGCCGAAATGAACGACGTACCCCGCTTGATTTCATGTTCGCATTCGCCTCTCATCTGCCGTCCCTTACGTGTCGTCGTATGCATATGATGTGCACTGCGGAACACAGAGTATTGATTCCGTCGTTGTTTCCCGTTCCTCCCAGGCTCTGTACTCGACAACAGACAAATTTGTGGGGTTTTGTTCCCGTTTGCGCAATCCTCACCCGCTTGCTCGAAAGCGTGTCCTTCTTGGCCTGTTTGCCTGACACGACTCGCAGCGCTTGCCCTCCATCCTGCCGCCGTCACCCTTTTGGCTTGTTTGGCATTGTTCACGCCTCGCATGTCAGGTGCTGTGTGCCCTACCGGAGATTGGGCAGAAGTACGACGGGGAGGGCACGGAAGTCTTCAAGACGGCCCCGGAAGACATCGCCTCAGACTTCCCCTCTCAGGTCAATACTGCATGATAGATTGCACAAGATACCACACCATGCCTTTTCAGAGCTCAATTTCTCTGCAGCATGAACAGGGACGGGCCCGAAAATGGAGGCGTTGGATCTGCCTCGTTTCCACATTCCGAAAATGTGTGATTTGGCTGTGGCATCCCCTTGTACGTGGAGTAGTGGAGCTTTGAAAGTCGCTGCAGGAGGTGTGGCTTTTTGACACGAACGTCTTGAAACCTACGGTAGCTATCGTACATCATGATGCAAGATAGCACACCCCGGTGATTAATAACATGTTGGCGTCAAGAACAATGGTCACCGGGTGTGTTGTTTTGGGGGGGGACTTTTGTTATCTTTGCTATCTTGTGTCGTTTGCGGTAGGTCATGGCGTGCAACTCTGTGGGGTTGTTGGCGATTTTTTTTCGCGCCTTCTCCTCGGTCTCGTATGCGCCACTACCGCTTGCTGTGCTGGTGCGAAATTAGGCGTTTGACACATGATGCCTCGGTCCACCATGAGTCTGTAGAGAGCGAGAGGAGTATATATATATATATATGCACCTCTCTCGGGAAGTGCACTTCACGGGGAAATAACTGAGGTTTGTTCAGGTCTTTGCCCTCTGTTTGTTCACACGGTCTTTCGCGACAACCGTGACCCCTATCCTTCTACCTTTCTGCGCCACGCCTGTCAATGGTGGCCCATTACACTGTACCCTGCCCCGAAATCACCGCCGTCGTTTCTCCGACCACCGTCCATATCCCCGAACCCTCTGCCGACAACTGTTGCTGTTGCAGATGTCCAAGGTAGCTTCTGCCCTGCTCTCCGGCAAGTACTCCACTCAAGCCCAAGTACCCCCGTCTTCGGGAGAGGGGGCGACGCCTGCTCAAGGTGATGATTCCCATACGTGGCGTGTTTTTTGCAGGACTGAGGTGCTATTGCCGTTAAGAGTGAGTTGTAGCCCTTCGTGATTGTGCTGGGAGAGACATGGTTCTGTTTGCAAGGCGTCCTGCCGAATGTACCATCATCATATCGTTTGAGGTATGTGCTCTCGGCCCCGCTTTTTGCCGACACCAACGCACAGGTGTTAACGGTATTTAGAGGGCTATAAGATGAGGTGTAGGACGCAGAAAAGACTTGCTTTTGCTACCGAACACATGAGATACGGAGAAATTACGTTTGGAAACGTGCTTCCGCCACCAGCCTCCGTGATTTTGGCAAGGCTCAAGGCTCAAGGCCATCGACGCGATGGACAGCAACGGCCCTTCTTTCATGATTGCGGTCCCTGTTGGCTTTATCTCTTCCCCTTCCTTTCCCGCAGAAAAAAAAAAAACATGTTGAAGAGCGCTCATCTGTCCATCCATACCGTTGACCTCCGAACGTCCAACGCGTATCCTCAGCCGGCGACGCCGAGAAGGCACCTGCGGGTGACGGTAAGGGCGAAGAAGGAGAAGGGGACGAGTTGGTGGCGGTGGCACCGAGGATGTTCAAGCACCTGGTGGGGCAGGGGCACGCCGAGTTCTCCTCCGGCAGGCAGCAAGACGCCGCGGAGTACATGCAGCACTTGCTTGAGGTAAGTGGTACAGCATTGAGGGTCCCCGAATACGGCGGTGGCGGGACAGCTGATGGTGACCGCCTTAAGATGGGGCAGCCGCCTATTTCGATGTGTAGAGCAAATGTGTTGATTGTGCCGTCTATGCCAGACAAATGTCACCGGCGGTCTGTTGGGTGAACGCCATCTCTCAAACTGCCTTAGTCGGGAACCGCCGCAGTATGCGGTTATAGCTCCCCAGCGCGGGGCCACGCGGACTAGAATTCCTTTACAAGGCTTTGTATTTCCTGTGTTTTCTTTGCGAGGCTTCATGCCTTGTGTATTCAACCGGATAATATTATAAACCCTTCGCAAAGCTTCGTGCCTTGTGTTTGTCAAGGGGACAAGAATTCCTTTGCAAGGCTTCGTGGCTTGTGTTTTCAGGCGGATAAGGGGTGAGCAATCCTCTGCAAGGCGTTGTACCTATTTTGTGTGTTTCTGCCCCCGCCCTCCCCCGCCCTCGCTGTTTATCGCATAGTTCATGCGCCGCTCCGAGCGCACCAGCGCCGGAAGGCTCGGGGGGGGCGACGGTGCTCGCGAGACAGCCAGCCTATTCCAGTTCCGATTGGTGGACCGGCTACAGTGCCAGCAGAGCGGGACTGTCAAGTACACCACGCAGGCTGCGGACAACCTGCTCAGCCTCCAGGTGTGCATCATACTAATAGTAGTGTTTTTGCTGGTCGGAAAAGTACGTTTGTTTGCTGCTGCGTGGTAAGCATTGAAGAACGGGAGTGTTTATCCTTTCGTGTGACTTGACTGCCGGAAAGACCTCTTGTGGTTGTAGACTCCGGTGGGGGGCACCCGCAGACTGCATTCACCGAGATGCCGTGCTATTCCCAGTGAGGCGTTTTTACACGTTACTCTTGACTCACTTGATGGTGGTGTTGTTGGTGGTGTATATTCCTCTTATTTTAGAAGAGTACCCATGATTTTTACAAAGCATACATGAAAACACAGAAAGACTTCCCGTTCAAGATATAACCACAGCAGTCGAAAGGGGTGTGCTCAAAGTGGTGAAGCGTTTTTTTCGTCCCTGTGGTCTTCCTTGTTGCTGGCGTCACGGTCCTCGTTTTTACTGTTTTCATGTCCTGTTTTTGTTACGAGCCAGATACCGTCATGTTCCTCGACCTTTCTTTTTTTTTTCTTGTCCTTTTTTTTTTTTTTAAACGAGCCAGATCCCAGGGAAAGCAGCCGTCGACAAGACCGCGGTCTCAGCACCACTCTTTCTCTGTGCTCTTCCATGTTGTTCTCGTTGCTGGCGTCACTTTCCTCGTTTTTATTTTTTTTCTCGCGTCGTTTTTTATTTCGAGCCAGATCCCGTCACGTTCCTCGTTTTTTTGTTCCATCTACTTTTATGTTTTTCATGTCCTGTTCTTTTTTTTTCACGAGCCAGATCCCGGTGGAAGCAGCCGTCAACAAGACCGAGGTCGAGGCCTACAAAGAACGCCTCAACAAGAGGCAGAAGTGCGACCCCAAGGCCAACACTACCACCACCAACAACAACAACGAGGAGGAGGCGGAGGAGGAGGATGAGATCAAGCCGGTCGTTCCTCTGTCGGCGTGCCTGGCGAGGCTAGCGGCAGACGAGATCCTACCTGACTACCGCAGCCCCGCAACTGGGAAGGCCGGGCCCGCCCTCAAGCACGTCCGCCTGGGGAACTTTCCCAGATACCTCTTGGTGCAGCTGCGCAGGTGCGAGAAGAACGGGGTTGGGTGGTTGTGTTGTTGATGTTGTTGTTGCGGCTGTTCGCTTGGTTGACATGTTGACATGCGCACATGTTGTTGCTTCACATTAAAACTGTTCCGATCTCTCTACCCAGTACCTACACTTCGCGACGCTGCATCTTTTTCTTGGTTTCCCGCGCGTGAGTCCTCCGGGTCTTCAGAGGTCCAATGTGCTTGGAACCCCCCCCCCCCCCCCCCCCCCCCCCCCCCCCCCCCCCCCCCCCCCCCCCCCCCCCCCCCCCCCCCCCC